AGGTAACAAAAGCTCAACACTGCCCATAGCATCCTGGAGCACTTCTGTTGTCTTTTGGAGTTTGTACATGTTTTGGAGTTTGTATGTGTTTTGGAGGTTTCACGCGCTTCAAAATTTGTGCGTGTTTTGGAATTTGCATGTGTATTGTCTCTAGGGGCCACCGTAAATATACTTTTATTTATTCACTCCACATAAAATGTAATAAATAAATCATATAAAACAAAAACCAACTAGTCACAGTTCAACTTTTACCTATTTAAATTTTCAGCTTTTTCCTTTTAAACAAATTTAAAGTGAAGAAACACAAAACACTGCAAACCACAACACAATAAAATATAAATTAAAATATGCAAAACAAAAAGAAGATTTGTCATAAAGGCCTGCATGAATAAACTTTCTGAATCCATTACTATACCTTTCTAATTTGACGTTGTTGTCCCTGGCTGTCTTTCTCTCTCTCTTTCCCTCCCGCTCTGTTCCTGTGCTACTGCCAGTGTAACTACCGCCCCTCCCCCCTCTGCTCAGTGCAAAGTACAAGGCTCACGTGCGGAGTGAAGTGGAAAAAAGTGTGAGAGAGAGGGTGAGAGAAAGAAAGAAAAAAACACGGCTCCCAATAAAGAGCCGGCTCGCATCATTCACTTCAAAGAGTCGGCTCTAAGAGCCGTTTCGTTCGCAACTGACACATCACCAGTTACAAAACACAGAAGTTCAGTTTTTATTATAAACTCTGCATTAATCTTTATCTTTATTAATCAATCCACCCTCTGACATACACCCTAAATACATAATAGATAAAAAATAAAATCTAATCTGAAAGAAGCAAATTCACTCTGGAAACTAACTAAAACTAAACTGAATTAAAAACACAAAGTGAAAAGAATTACAATTGAAAGCATAAAAGTAAAAAAAACTGCTTTCTGTGGATATGTTTCATTTATGTGAGTGAAGTTGGCCGGCCCCACCTTCTTCAAGTCAAACAATGTTAGTAGGAACTGGTGTGTGTATGTGCGGCACAGGTAGACGGGACGATGCTTTGCGGGATCTGGCACACCTGCGGCACATCAGACGTCTTCAAAGGTTTTTTCGTTTTTAAAGATCTGTGCCTCTGGTGTCGGAGTATTGTCGTTTCCACAAGTGCCTGTCCCGCTGCCCGCTTGCCTGCCTGTTCTTTTGGAGATTATGTTCGCCGATCTAAAAGCCTCTGAGTGTTTCTCTTACTTGGGTCCACCCGTTAGAGTCACCCAACAAAAACTGATGCCAAACGTTTGTGCTGCAAAAGTGTTGTTTGTGGTGCCTTTCTTTTAAACATATTAATAAAAGTTTTTAGAGGTCACCCTGGGTCAACCGGCCCCTTTTTTTTCTTGTGAAAATGTTATGAAACATAAACCAGTATTGGATATTTTTTTATCATGATCAAACGCTGATATTTTACTAAACTGGTTTCTCTCATTGCTGTGAATATGAAGTAAAACTTCTAATGAATTAAACTTTATAGTACAGGAGAGCAACAGATGAACATTGAAATACAATCAAGTTAATCTGGGGATTTTTCTTGTTCTTCATAAACAGAAACATAGATCCACAGTGCCTGATCTGAGTTTTCTTTTGTATGTTTTAATGGCAGCATGGACATACAGTGGGATGCAAATGTTTGGGCAACCTTGTTAATAGGCATTATTTTCCTGTATAAATCGTTGGTTGTTACAATAAAAAAAATGTCAGTTAAATATATCATATAGGAGACACACACAGTGATATTTGAGAAGTGAAATGAAGTTTATTGGATTTACAGAAAGTGTGCAATAATTGTTTGACAGAAAATGTGCAATAATTGACAGCTGTTTAGAAACAGTTTGGGTCACTTTGAATGGCAGCCATGAAAGGGAGGTTCTCGTATCAGTACCAAGCTTTGTTTATTTTCACACTGAAGTATTTTTCAGGGAACTTTACTGGCAATTATGGATTTTGAGAAAGATACAAATTTATTTCATTATTTAAATAAAAACTAAATCTGCTCAGTGAAAAACAGAAATTAGACAGGATTAAGTCAATTTTAAATCTGAAAACACAAGTTTTCTGACAAATAGTCAGAAACTCATCTGAAAATTCTGCCTCCCCTCTCCCACCTGTCCTGCTTCAGGTGGAGTCCCGCCTCCTTCCAAGAAGCAGCTCACCTGTGTGTCCATGTGTAAGTTTGATTTGTTTCCTCCTTTAACAGTTTGTCTTTAGAAACTTTATGAGCAGAATGGGAAGTGAGACAGTTTTATTTACTTAACATAAAATTACTTAAAATACTTGACATAATATAAATCAGATGTATGATTTGAATCAAACAAACTCCTGATCTCTTAGTGTTTTTACAGCTCTGTTAAATAACATTTTGTTACCGTTGATGCTTCACAAAGATCAGGTGTGCTTCAAACTGAAACTGTGCTGCGTGCAGTTACTAGTTTTTAGTTTTAACGCAACTTAACTGACATAACTGTTTAGACTTTTCACAACTGTTTGACCATAACCAGTTATAGTGTCAGCAGCTGTTGGAGGTGGTTGCAGTGCAGGTAGATGCATAGATGTAGTAAGGACTGGATTAAACCTGTTTGCTTCTGTCTGTTTAGAAATCCTTTGGTATAAATATTGGATCTGCTTCAACAGGAAGTAATTATGATAACAACACAAAGGTTGTTGGGTTTGATATTCAGGCTGACTTCATTAGATGAAACAAAATTATTATATTGAATTACTGAAAACATTAACAGATAATTAGATATTAGTCATGAGGCAAAGTCAGATGCTGAGACAGAAGAAATGTGTTACAAATAAATAAAACTTTGATGAATTTAGTATTTATTTTCTTAATTTGTTTTAGTTAGGTTTAATATAAAAAATTGAATTACTTGTATATATGTGTATATGTATTTCCATGTAATAATACCAAATAAAAGATATTGATTTCTGTTTGTACACAGATGTGATTTGAGTCAAGGTGCAGATATTATTCTCTATCTGTGTGCCTAAAGTTTTTGCTGTTCATCTGATATACTCATTTCTAAATTCATTGGGAGTGTCCCTGTTGGTCCCTCCCAATGAAAGTCTTAACACCTTAAACTCTGCCATCTCTACCTTTTGGGGAGAGGGCAGGCAGTACCGGACAAAGAGCTGTAACTCCTAAACTTCTGATCCAATTTAAGTTAAAGCTACATAGTAAGAAAAAAACACCAACAACAGAAAATAAAAACAAACTCCCTTTGTTGTGAAAATCTGCTTTCTCCTCCTTCCTTATGTTTTCTGTCTACATTAGCAAACTTAGAGAGACAAACTGTCACTTCTTAATTTTCTTATTGACAGCGAATCAGAGTGTGTCAGTGAATGCATCATGTGTGCTTCATGGTTCCATCTAGTGGACTGAAAATAGAAGTAGAGCAGCTGATGGCAGCTTCCTCCACCTCACACTTTTGTCTGACTGCATTCAGCTGACACTGAGATGAAGCAGGAAAGAAGCAGCTGATATTTGGACAGCACACATAATGGAAAGGAGGATTTCAGTTGATGTGTGCATGAATGATTTGTGTTTCCTCTGCAGGTGAAGGTAGAAAGTGTGTGTGAGCTGATGTGAATTGAGCAGCATGGATCAGTGTGAGGACAGAGAGGAGGGAGTCCCTCCCTCTAAAACCACTCTGTGTGGGGAACATGAGAGCCAGACCAAAGCTCAGAGGTGAGTTGACCATCTTTAACTGTCCATGACTCTTCTCCATGTCACAGCTCAGCACTCACATCACTGCTCCATCATTATTCACAGGAAGAAACGAGGAACTAAACTTAAACATGAACCTGAACCCAGCTGTGTGTCCTTAAAGAGTGACGATTCTAAAGGTCATCCGCTCATTAATTTTAAAGTCCAGCCTCTATCTGCTGTGGAGAGGTGAGCTGTTAGTAACATGAATTCTTTGATTTAACTGCTTGATGTTGTTGGATATAAACTGCAGTGCAAACACGTCATTCCCTCAATCCCATTTAAACTGTCTTTTAAAAACAAGCCAATTTATATCTGGTCATGCTGACATGGCTCTGTCTGATGGTGAAAGAGTTACAGGTAGCTCTACTGGCGGCACAATCCAATATTAGTAGTATTATCCAATGTGTGAAATTAATTATTTAAAAAAAGTAGTGAGTCAATTGTTGTCAAATATGACGAGTAACAATAGTGTTTCGTCTTCACAAATGTATTCAAGTAAAAGTATTATTATTATTTTTATTTTTTATTGCACCATATTTTTTTTACATTTTATTTAAAAGCTCAAGGACACCATACACGGCAGGATAATAAAAACAAGCATAAAAGCAAGCAGTTTACAAAATAATAAAAATACAAAATCATAAGTGCCTAAATAAAGGTACATTTAGAAGTACAGTTTTTCAAAAGGTTACTTAAGTAAATGTAACGGAGTAAATGTAACTCGTTCAATTCAACTCAATTCAATTTTATTTACAGAGTGCCAAATCACAACAAAAGTCTCCTCAAGGTGTTTCGTAGGTACAGAGAAAAACCCAACAATCATATGACCCCCTATGAGCAAGCACTTTGGCGACAGTGGGAAGGAAAAACTCCCTTTTAACAGGAAGAAACCT